GGAGATAACCCTAATTATGTTTGTCTATATATATTAATCTCATTGTACTTGTAAACATTTGTAGCACCTAAATAAAGAAAAACCTAGTTGCCCCCATGGACTAGCACGATCAATCTGATCGTGTGAACCACGTAAATTCTTGTGTTCTTCTTTTGTTTTTTGGGTTGTGCGTAGGGTTGTGCGTATTGCGTGTGTAACGTTTGTCCTAACATGTTTAACTCTAGAAGCTGCTAAATCAAGCCAGTTACTTATATGCCTTCCGATTGCAGGTGTTCCATCTAATGATTGGTTTTTCCAACACGGGTAAGATATTCAGACTTTTTCCTTGCATTGTTTTTGGGACATTGAATTTTATATTCTTGTGACAAACATGTTTACATGGCTTGTAAGTTAAAGAACACCATTACCATCTATTTTTCTATAAACATGGTCTTCTCTTCAATTTCCAAGAATAAGATCAGTGATAGCTCTCTTTGTAGTAAGGCATGGTCAAACCTTGTGACATTCACAAGGGTCAAGGCTTCCACAGGCTTGAATGTGGAGTAGCGACTGAATCTGTGCTTCATACATACCCCCCTTTTTTGAGAGTTACATGGCTTTTATTTCATGAATGTGATGTTTTCAGCTCAGGGGAAAGTTAGGAATTCATTAATTTTATAATTTATTTATGCATTGAGTTTGTTAAATCTTGAGACTTTTTATTTGTCATTACCTTTTCTCACATTAGTATTGTAGTTGTTTACTTGGCTCTATAGGAATCTAAAGGTTTATTATTTAAGACTGCTTGTAAATATTTAAAAATTCGGAAGACAGAGGAAAGGATACAGAGTTTAACGGAGAGAAGATGGATTTTTTTGAGGGGGAAATATTGATTAAATACTGTTCTGATGGTTTACATTGCATTGGAAGTATTCTTAAAAGATTTCTGTTTTGCGGAACCCTAGTTATCTTTCTCTAATGTAAACAATCCTTATTTTTTCCTCCCCATATTATGTTTTTGAATCAATTCAAGTGTTGTTTTTCTTTTGAGATGCCAAATCCAGATAGCTAGAACAACACGCCCTCTTAAACGTACTACTCCGGATTGCTGAATAGCTACTATCAGTCATGAAATGCTGAACACCTTTCAGGAAACAATATTCATGATGAATTGGACTCGCTTGCTATTGTGTGTTATATGTATTAACTATATGTGCAATAACTTATCACACACAATTAGGTGGACATGGCATCCTAAGCTTAGTTTAAAATAAGCTACTCATGTTGCATTCATGGTAAGAGATATATAGTACATTTTGAGGCTGTTGAAATAAGTTTAAACTAATGATGGTGTTGCAGTCTTTATACCACTTCTGATTTTCTTTAACTGGTTAGTTCACATTTAGTTACAGACACACAGTGACGTTATTCCATTTGTGTCATGAAATTAGAAGAGGGTGTTAGTGAAGAGTCTTGGTGCAGTGGTAATTTTCATCGTATGCGACTTAGAGAAAACAAATCATACTGCATTAGATCCTTCTGAAACTCCAGTTGTGGGACCCTCATCCGCTAGCTGGGCCTGCTCAGGTAATAGAAAAGTTGCTATTGACTATGGACCACAGACAACATTACAAAATGAAAATTGTATAGGTCAACTGTTTTGAACTCTCGATGATACACATATCCCAAGATGAGATGATGAAAGATATATTGAAACCAAGATGAGATGATGATACACATATTCCATTTTGGTATTGCTGATGAATGTCTATCCCACATCTATTGAAATCATGATATTTGAACCTGATATGGAATAGCATATTCCTTATTGATCTTTAACAAACAGGAGATGTAAAATTCATGGATGTCTTGAGATTTAAAATATTCATCAACTAAGGAGAGTCTTACAAGAATTCTGAGGTTGCTTGATTATCCCGTGGACATCTCTTTGAACTATGGCAGTGTCTAAGTGCAGGGCTAAGACTCTGTATTCCCGTAAACCACAATGGAGCAGTGTTTGTAGGCTTTTGCATTCCATTGGCTTGTTTATTATCTATTCTTGTGCTACTTATATTTCTATGATATTGATAAGTTCTAGGACTTTTTGAAGATATCATATCCCCATTGCTGTTGTACCTTCTGTTTTATTTCTTCTTAAATGGCTTTGGTTGTTTTCTTTTTCCCTCGTGGCAGGTTATGGTCTTTATTTTATATTAACTCTTGTTGCTGCTTGTAAGAACTGGACATGCTGGTCAAACTCTTGTGGTTTTATTGTTATGGGTATGCCTCTTTCTCTGTTGTGTTTGACATAGAAGGAACCTGATAGCTATCTGGTGGTATCTACAGAAAATTCTTGTAACACAATTACCTACTTGGATAATACATGGTTATAAGATGTGTTTTATTTTGCAGCATTGCCCAAGATTCTATTTCTTGCAGCATTTCTCCTCCTTCTATCCTTCTGGTATGTCTCATCTTGTGTCTGAAATTTTAAGTAGATCTGGATAGGTTTGTTAGCCTGTCAAAATATTGTAACTGTAATCTGAATTACTCTTATAATCTGTGTTTACAGTAGGTAAGATTTGGAGATTAAATTTAAGCGAAGTCAGTGTCTAAAACCAAACCAAACAAGCCCAGTAAGTCCCACCTGAGATGGGGTCTTGGAGGGTAAGATCAATGCAGACCTGACCTCTACCCTTAAGAGTAGAGCGGTTGTTTCCGTGAAGACCCCCCCGGCTTGCGAAGTGAGGAAAAGATTGATAAAGGGTAAAAAGTAAATTATTGACAAACTAGATAAGAGTAATGAACGACAAACCAACAGAAGCATAAATAAGAGAAACATAACCTAGGCTAGGAGAATATACCCTTAGTCCAATTCAATCCCTATCTCCCACCCTCTACCTCAGCAAAACCTTCCTGCCGACTATGCTAGCTACAGAACCCCACCCTATTCCTCTACCCTAATCCTCCGTCTCCACTCGCTCCTATAGAGGTCATGTCTTCGGAAATACCTGGGCCACCATGTCCAACCTTAGTTGCTCATCCCCCTTGATCGTCAATCTTTCTATCCTCCTCACTGGAGCTTTCAGCTGTCTCATGCGAACATGACCAAACCACCTCAATCTCCCCTCTCTCAACTTGTCTGGCGCAATACCCAACCACTTCCCTGAAAACATCGTTTGGAATCCTCTCAAACTTAGTTTGACCATAGGTCCATCTAACCATCCTCATTTCTGCAACTTCCAACTTCCGCTCACAGGGAAGGCCTTCCTTACCACCCAACACTCTGATCCATACAACATAGTTGGCCTGATGGTTACTCTGTAAAATTTGCCCCTTCAATTTTAACTAGACCTCGTCACACAACACCCCGTGGCAGCTGTCCACTTTAGCCATCCTATCCTTATGTGATGGTTTATTTCATCCTCGACCTCGCCATCCTTCTAAATCATAGAACCTAGATACTTAAAATTGCCCTTTTGTGTTACCCTTTGCCCCCATATGCTGACTTCCACCCCTTCATCAATACACACCTCGCTGAAATTACACCATACATATTCCGTCTTTGCACGACTAATGCGCAGGCCATGTGCTTCCAATGTTGCCCTCCATTGCTCCAATGGATCATTCAGCTTCACTTTCGACTCCGCAACCAACAAAATGTCATCCGCAAATAACATACTCCAAGGGATACTCCCTTCTAATTTTCGTGAAATCTCATCCAAATCTACAAGAAGTAGGAATGGGCTTAATTTTGATCCTTGGTAAAGTCCTATCTCCACCAGTAAATACTCCATCTCACCCGCACAGTCCTAACCCAAGTCCTTCCCCGATACATATCCTGGAGCGTGTTTACGTATCTACATGGTACCCCCCCCCCCTTCCTCCCTAAGATGCTCCAGGTGACATCTCATGGCAAGCAAAGTCAGTGTCTATGACTAATTAAAATTGTTTAATAAGATAAAAAAGTACTTTATGTCAATTATCAAGGATGGCACGGGTAGCCCTCTTCCCTTGTTTTTTCTTGGTTTTTTTCATTACTATATATAGGGGTGGGTTCAAGAGTGAACACTAAAAAAAGGACAAGGGACCCATCCTCACCATGCATGTATTTAAATCCATTGGCTGTGAATAATATGACTAATTACATTTATCCAAAACTAAATCATGATTATTGGGGCAGTTACATTCAAATATGGGACATCTATTTTTCAGATACAAGAGTTGATAGGAGTTCTCTTTCTTTTATTTGGGGTTCTCTCTTGAACCTCCCTATATTTATACAGGGTAGGTTCAGGGGAAAACCGCAAAAAAATGAAAAACTGTGTAACACCGTGGTAACCATTCATCTGGACGGTATACACATATGCATCCAAATAACTTGTAAGCAATTTGTTCGGTATGCACATGTGCATAACATGCATACTGTCCAGATGAATGTTACTAGGGTGTTTCTCAATTATTCATTTTTTGGAGGTTTTCCCCTGAACCYCCCCCCCCCCTCTCTCTCTCTCTATATATATATATATAGACCAAGGAACAGATAGGAACTTTTTTTTCTCGTAAGAACCATAGGAACCACCTCAATGCCTTTGGATGAATCACTTGCCTCAATCTAACGGACCTAATGGACGTGGTGGCATTTTCATAATTAAGGTGAACTTCGATGGTATTGTTGTTGTGGACACAGAGCTTAACATAGCTTAACCTCCCTCAGAAACTTTAGCATACTTGAAACTGACCATGTTAACATAAGTTAACATGGAAATACTCAACCTTAATATAATTAACACACCATAGCAACTCTGAAGATTCATGAATATATGTTAGCATACCCTACAATCTTAACATATATTAACATGATAACCTTAAAACATCTTAATCTTAACACACCTTAATGTAATCTCAACGCACCTTAACTCACAGTAATACACATTAACCATGAAAATCTTAACACATAGTAACACACCTCAACACATAGTAAGGTGTCAAGGTGGTTCCTTTGGATTTTGGATTTTGGATTTTCTACCAGAACCCAACCCTATATATAGTAGTTGGTTTTGCATTTGTAGCTTTTCCACCGAGTTAATCTTTGGATTCTGGAATTTCTATCTGATCAACATTCTTCCTTTGGCTTATATGCTAGGGTTTTGTAAATACTTAATCAAAAGCTAGTGCATGTCTAATTTCATCCTTATCTACCAAAGTTCTTAGCAAAAGTGAAATTGGGGCATCCAAATTCTAAAATAAAACTTGTTTCCTACAGACTGGATTCACGATCCATTAGTTGCTCAAGATGATCTTGATCACCAAATACCACTGTACTTAAATCACTAAAACATATGAACCATGAAGAATGTCCAAGTTTTTTTGACATAGACACTATTGGATGCAGTTTTGCATCTCATAAAGAATGGCAAGCGAACTCTTCTTGTTATTTTTACAGTTGGTTCTGCATCCCCTATATTTTTTACCAACTAATCTTAGTGTTCCAGAAGTTTTTGTGTGATCTGTATTGCAAGGATATGGGTGCATGATACCTAGACATTTGGAAAAAACAAGGTTACTAGTATGCATGTCTGTATCTATTGATAGATTAGTCCAAAATCCAGATCAATAAAAGAAATTAGTTTATATTACTTTTTTGTATTTAAAAATAATACAGTGTTGGTTTGATGGAGGTTTAATTTTTCATTTTTAAAACTAAAATTGAATTACAGTTTTGGGTGGAGGTAGGGTATAACCTAGAAAAAGTTTGAAGAAATCAATGTTTGCTATATAGAACATGGTATATATATTTAATATAAAATGATAAACATGAAAGGGAATATGGTCGACAATTGACGAAAACCTATGTGATTTTTATTTATATATAACAAAAGTATAGCATCTACTCAATCTTTAGAATAAAGAAACAGATAGTCCCGGCTTGAGTAATATGTGTCATATACTAAAATGAATCTATTTGAACCATCAAATAGTTCTTCAAATTTACTGGTCCCATCTAAAAGAAAGGCTGAAAGCAAAAAGGATATGGCTTAACATGTTGGATAGGCACCAGAGCCAGGTATGGGGAGGGTTAGAGAGTCAGCAGCTACTTCGTCATTCGTTAGTCTAGCGGTCTAATACCTTCTTGTATGCTTTTATTAGTCCTACATGCTTTTAATATCTTGTTTTCTACTTTTTATGTTTTTTCTCTTTCCTATATTTCAATCTTTTGTCTTAACTTTTAGAACCAAATGTTGCTCGTAAAGTCATGCTTTCAAAAGCTTTTTTGAAGCTGGAGGTGTTTGCAGAAATAACCTCCCTACCCTTCAGGGTAGAGGTAAATTCTGTGTACGCCTTAGCCTCACCAGACCCTACTCTGTTTGGGACTCACTGGGTTTGTTTGGTTTGGTTTGGTTTGGTTTGGTTTATACACACACAAAACTCGTTACACACAAGTACAAACAACACAGTACACAATGTCTGAAAGAGGAGACTAGGCACCGGAAGAAGCAGCAGTCCACTAATTATCAACAGAAAAGAATTCTTTGTGTTGCCTCATCCCTTGTCCTCTTTGTGTCTCTTCTTCACTTCCTTACTTCATCACTCTTCTTGGGCATAGAACATATTCTACATTTGGGTTTAACTACTAATGCTAGTTTTAAGCTTACTGTTTGTGATGTTCATCTCTCCATTAAAAAAATAAACTTACCCTTCTCTATTCATTGTCAACGATTTGGCATACTACCTAAGGTTCATCAGAACACCCCCTCTCCCCCTTGCTTCTTAGATTATTAACAAATATGATATTATGAAATGCTGACCAGTTCTCTAGGGGACTTAGCTAGAGGACATCAGGTAAAAAGAAACCCAGATAATAATGATTTCTGTTGCAATAAATGATAGCAGGGGTTTTCAAATTAAAGGCATGTGATATGTTATCAGAAGCTAGAATTTATGTTTCTTTTCATTTTATAGGGTTGACCTCTGCCATCAGGCAAACAATGAAGATGAGGATGAAGGTAGTCCTCAGGAAGCTTTGGTAGAGAAAGCAAACAAGCCCAATTTGAAGGTTAATCGTCGGAGAAGATGTTGCACTTTTCGAGTCTTCTCTGTTGGCAGTCGTCAACAAGTTGTGATTTTGGTATGCAAGCTACAAGACTTACCATTGATGGCATAATCATGTTGCCCTTTCTCCTTTCTGGACTTACTTTTTTGCCGTATCTACTACTTGCTCTTTTTTCCTCCCATATTGTGTTTCAGATAGAGAGACTTGCATGAACCATTTGACAAAAAGATGAACTGTAAATATTTTTTTAGTAGGTGAATTTTAATATCTTCTAATACAAACTCAAGTTCTTTAAATCAAAATTGTGAAAGGGAAACACTAAAGTTGTTGATCTGGATAGATTGCAGAGAGGAACACCCACATCTCACCTGTTGGAGTTATCAAGAAGGAATAGCAATAATGAAACAGTTGGGACTTTGGGAGTGGCCAATTACTTTTTTGCTACATCCTAGGCTGGCAAATTTTGTTAGAACTCAAACAACATAAATACTGATTATTGCTGGGGTTTTTATTCCTTATTTGAAAAGGAATCTTTAATCTTAGATCCTAATCTTAAATGACCAAAAATTATGAGGGAGATACATTTTTTTAGGGGGTGCAATTTGGTGTTTTACCTTTTACATAAGACCAAAAAAGAACAAATTTCCTGATTTTGATACCTAATTGTGTATCATTGCAGTTCTCTTCTAACTCCTAATTGGAGGCTGTTCTCTTCTATTGCATTTTGTAAAAAGATTTGTTCTTTTTTCGATGGGATTAGTATGAGTTAGTTACCTAAAAGTCACCATAGCCATTGACCAATTTGAGGGTGTACTTATCTTTTAGCAAGTAAACAAATACTTAACAGTTCCTCCAATTTCTCATGAACTTTTGTCACCAGAGATCTGTTGTGGCAATCCAGTTGGCATTTAGAGCTTATGTGGCAGTACAACTGCATTTTAAGTGGCGAAACAAGTGTTTACAAATTATTTCTTTTAATAACTATTGGGTACAAGTGAAAATGCAAAAATGTACAATGTAAATATCCTTTTATTTTACTTAAAATTATGATATAGAAATGCGTTCCTTTTTAAACTTCTTTTATATACTAACTACAATTGCAAAACCTGAAGTTGGTGATTCAACAATTAAGAAATTAGGGTTTTAAAAAATTTGGATAGGGTATTTACAGGGAGAAGTTCCTCCATCTTGAGCTCAAATGACTAGGTGAATTTGCTGAAGTAGAACACTAGCATGCATATTCTTTAATCTCGAGTTCACATGTAACTTTTTTCTGCTTGTTATACTCAGTGACTTCTGGTGCTTGCATGTATGGGAGGGCTGGTAAGCAAAGAGGCTAGGGTGGGATATGCATAGGGGGAGAGGGATGATTTAGGGTGAGTGGTGATGGAGGTGGGTGGGATGGTGGTGGCTGTACTTTAAGCTCTTAGATATTTACACAACATTAATAATAATTTAAAGAAATGAAAAAGCTGGGATTAACTAAAATCAAATAGATAATGTGGATTATCGTCTATGTTTTTCTGCGTGCACTCAACCTTGATGTTTCACACAAATTATACTCTTTAAACTTTTTTTGAAGTTATAATATTTGTTTACGGCAAATAATCATGCACACTCCTTGCCTTTGGTGAGACTTAAACCCTTGACCTCCAGCGAGGTTAGGCTCTACTTGTAACCTGGGTAACGCTGGGCCAATGACCCTTTGGTTACTTTTTAATCTTCATTACTTCACACAGTCGAACTTTCTTCCAAGTCTGTAGTCTGGCATGGCATGGCAGAATTCTGTTTTCTTATTGATTTAGTGTTTATTCACTTCCATTAAATGATGCATATGGCCATACATTGATGTTCTAAGAAATCTTAATTCATGATTCTTTTAACAGGTGACTCTGTTAATATTTGTGATAATGCTGGCATCAGCTGCACTTATATGGATTGGCCTTGGAAAGAATCCTATCGATTCAGCTGTTGTGGCACGGGTAGGAATTATTGGTATTAAGTTTTATATTTACTTTTTTCTGTTAATTGCCTGTTGTTGCTTCTTGTGTATTTTTCATGTACCTAATGTAGGTGTACTTATAAGATGAGGCAGAGAGGATAGCATATCCAACACCCTATGCTCGTTTATGTTTGTGTCATTTGTTGTTCTTTTGTTATTATGTGTTTTCTGTCTTTTCCCCCTTGGCGATGCTTTTTAATTAGCCAACAACTAAATGACTAGCATTGCCTTTCAAACATTCTTCAATTGCTTCAGGACACCACATGTTTTTTGACTAGTGGGTATGAAACAGACAAAATACAGCAGCTCTACTAGTCTAATGTTTGATCCATATATGATGATGAGAAGATACCGATACAAGTCCTAGGTGGTTACTTGTCATATGTTCATTACTTCACATAGTTGAAATATATAGAGCTCAATTTCAAGCCAAATAACTGATGCAATTCATTACTTTGAACTGAGATCAATCTTCCTACAATCCTGTTTTCAGGCCTCTAATGAAATTGTGGTTTAATTTTCATTTTGATTCCTCTTTCCAAGAAATTTAAGATTTGTCTTATAGGCAGAAGAGTTGTGCAAAAAAATATTGATTTTGGCATGTAATCATAGTATATGGTAGCTTGAGTCAAATATATTTGTTCTCCTTGTTTCTTAATTACAACTTAATAGACAATTTATACGATTTGCATGTATACACGAGGGAATTGTAGTTTGCGGAGTCTACACGATTGAAAGTGCTTGTGGAGTCCTGCTCCACATACGAGCCTGCTGTAATTACAGTCAATAGATCCTACGTGTGTCTGGGGATAGGAATTTGACTAACACTATTCTATGTATGGGATTCCTCAAATTACATAACCGCATGAGTAAATAAAATAATGAGAACAAATAAAATTCAATCGCTTTGGGTTTATAGTTCTGATACAAATCCGGAGTGCTTTGAAACCTCTACAAAAATACAACTAAAAAGCCCTGCCCATCAACAACTGTTCCAAAATACTGCAACAAGCACATCCTGTGACTGGATGTCGAAAATTGCAAATGGATTCATTGCTATTGCCTATCTTACCTTTTACATTGCTACGGTAAACTTCTTTCTATGTTGGGGGCTTCTGAGCTCATCATGGTTAGAACACGTTGCATTTTTTTTGCCCATGAAGCTAATGATGGCAAATTTTCACAACTTAATTCATTAACATGTTTGTTGGTTGTCAAGATCTAGGACATTGAACAAAAGGATCTTGCTCTTGGATTATATAATTTTGTTCATGGCATTTCTAGACGTGATTTTGACTCAATAACGTCTATTTGAAAAAATGTTCATTTCTTGTAGTGCAGTGATAAAAATACAACACAATATTTGCCATAAATTGGAATCGTTGTTGGAAAATGTTGCACAAAGGACGATTTTTATGTATGTATGTATGTATGCATGCATATGTAGATATGGACGAATGTGTAAACACACACACACACACATATTTGGTGGCAGGTTCATATGAGAACCGTAACCAACTATTTATTCATGAATATCATGAATATTTTAGGGTTATTCATCATGAATAACTCATAAAATAGGTTCCAGGTTCTCTTCTCAAAATATTTTATGATATTGATTTAAAGTTTCCCCTATGTATCTATATATACATGTATATACAACCACATATACTGATTCACATACACATGCACTTACACATAAGAATAGGCATATGTATAAGCATACACATACACATATACATACACAAACATATGTGTATATACACATACATACATGATACACATATATATATATATATAGTTATACAGATGCATGTATATGTACATATATGTATATATAGGTTCATTTGAGAAGTGATAAGTATTTGAGAAGTAGAGAAGTGATCCTAGCCCTTCATCTAGTCAAGATTGCGGCTTTGACTGTGAAACACCGGATAGTTCCTCGCATGGTATGCGGAAGATAGAGGTAGTTTTGTAACTTTTACAAATAGGCGGCAAAACAAGTGCATATCTGAACCCATGTGATTCACATATGAACTATATGTGATTCACATATGAACTATATGTTCATATGTGAACCTGTGTAATTCACATATGAACTATTTAACTGATTCACATATGAACCTGGGTGAATCACATATGAACTAATTAACTGATTCACATATGAATCTGTGTGATTCACATATGAACTAATTAACTGATTCACATATGAACCCGTGTGGTTCACANACATATGAACCCGTGTGGTTCACATATGAACTAATTAACTGATTCACATATGAATCTGTGTTATTTACATATGAACTAATTAACTGATTCACATAAGTGTGATTCACATATAAACTAATTAACTGATTCACATATAAACTAATTAGTTGACTCACATATGAACTATGGGTTCACATATGCACTTATAGGTTTACATATGCATTTGTTTGCGTCTATTCATAAAAATTACGAAACTACCCCTCTATTTTTCGCTTGACCAGTCAAAGTCGCAATTCTTGACCAATCTTGACCGTATGAAGGGCTAGGATCACTTCTTTACTTCTCAAATACTTACCACTTCTCAAATGAACCTCTCCCTATATATCTATCCATATATGTACATACATATATGAATATGTAATACACACACTCTTATATATATATATATTTATATTCACACATACACATATACATAAACCTACGTGTGTGTGCATGTTGGTGTACGCACATATATGCATATATGTTTATATAAGTTTCAAGTATTTTAACAGGATTATGATTGTTTGTGCATAACATCTATTCATTATACAAACTGAGAAGAACACAAGACAATTGATTAATATAAAGAAGATAATTGGATACTTGTTGTGTGGGGGAATGTGGATGTCCTAAACAGTACTGTCCTCACCTCAAAACCCCTGTAACATGAGTGAACATGAAAAACTCTGATAGATAGTTGAGCTCCATCCTAGATACCTTTCACTTAAGTTAAATCTGGAAGAAAAAAAACTATATTTGGAAAAAGGAAATCTTTTCCTCATCCTATTAATTGAAGCTAAGCAATTGCAAGTAGTCGCCTTTCTACTAAACAAGCTGATTGTGTCACATGAAAGCATTGATGTTTATAGTAGTTTCTGTTCACTACTACTATTCTAGATTCTATCTTTACGATCATACAAACATGAGTTATAAATGTTGCATGATGGTCATCTAGTTCTTTAAGCCTTTTGGAACTTGTTATGTGAGCTTGATGATGAAGGTAGAATAACAGTACATATCATGCAGGTGTACGTAGATATTTTTGCCGTTGCAATGCTTTTACTAGGGGGCGCATTAGCATGCTACGGTCAGCATCTTTGGTATCTGCTGCTATTATTGGTTTTAAATTTTTTTAGCTTTAAGTACTAGTGCTGCATATTTTTTCTCTTTATGTCGATACGATTGCAGTGCGCCCTTTGTTCAATGAGCTAATAATTGTACAACTCATAATGTTAATATTCTATATTGCCTAATCAAAATTATGCTGAGACAAGGTTTATTTCACCACCAATGTGCACCCAATGCTTGAGTAACTAATTTTATTGCCAGCGAGATGATATTTATGGATACCTTTTCTTCTTTCTCTTTAATTGTATGGTTACCTTTTTTCCTTTCTCTTTAATTGTACAGTTCAGTTATTCATGGAACTACTTAGATACTTACAGGTGACATGGAAAAGATACCTTTAAGGGTGAAAGAGGTGCTTCATAAGAGCTTATTATGTTAACAAAGGAAGTCCTATATGTCTAAAGTCTTGCTAATGGGTCTAGTTTATATCTCTACATTGTCCTGATAGTCTGCAACAAGAAGCGGAGCTATAGCTTATCTCATCTTGACAGACAATTAAACAAAAGGATGACCTGGTTCCCCAAGGCTCCTTGGCTATGTAAGGCCATTTGGTTAGGCCATCCAACATTTCAAAATTTTTGTTTTGTGATATATCATATGAGGAGCAATGGAGATGTATTTACTTGCTGTGAGGAAAATTGGATGGGTCCACAAAAATTAATAGTTATGGTATATGATGTAAATAAATAGCATGAAGTTTTATTAGGGCGTCTTTTTATATCTTTTTTTATGTTGAGGCCATGGTCCATTAATTGTAACACATATTCAAGGTTATATCTCCCACTAACAATACACCTTCTATTAGTTCTAACCACTAACATGGAAACTGATTTAACACCTGCAGTAGTTTGCTTGAATCCTATACCAACCTTTCTTGTGAATTTATGTATTTTTTTGAAGTATATAATATTTATGTATTGCAATGAAACTCACACACACTCCCCACCTTTGGTGAGGTTGGAACCCTTTACCTCTAGGAAGGTTGGGTTACCAGATACTATTAGGCCAAAGGTCCTTTTGCATTTATCAGCACAGTGGACAATTATCATATTGACAAGATTGCGATCAGAGACTTCAGCATCTGGGTAGGGACATAGCCATGCAGGAAATGGATGCACTTAGGAACAACAGATTTTCCAGATTTGAACGATCTGCATGTTCGAATGTGCTCTTTTGGTTACAAATGAATGTTATCTGTGAACTTGAAATGGAAGTTTTGATGGCTTTAAAGCTCATTTGGGCTAAAAGCTATTCCGAGACTTATTAAATGAGGAGACTTTTCATGGAAAAATTGAAATTTGTACGAATCCATATTTATATTCTTTTAATGCAACGCTGGCAATTAGTTAGATATCAAGAATGTTACATTTAATGATGCTTTTAGGAGCATGTATATTTGGATCAACCATATAATGTTGTCGTTAGGAGGCAGCCTTAAATGTTTTTGGACCTTAGGGGTGTCTATGCAGTCTTAAAAAGTGTCTCAAATCTTTGTTTGGTTGCTTTGTATATGTACCAAGTCAATTTGGTAATCTTTTGAGTGACGGTGATTATTTGTTCTTTTAGTCATGACATGATGATCATTTTGGTGGTTTACATGGATTATATAGGATGGGAGACAGAACCAGGTTAAGATCATGTCGAACACACTCATATGCCTTGTCATATGGTTGAAGTTTCACAACGGAAAAAGACTAGGATCTTTTATTTGAGTGTTGCTGATTAGGATGCCATGGTTTGCAACACGGTTTATTAGCTACCCACAAAACTATATGCAATTTGTTCATAAGCTGACAGTTACTCTTTGATGATGGCCTACTATCTTAGTATAGTTATTTGGTCTATGTCTAATCGCTACACTGAGAATTGGTATAATCTTCGATAAAGAGTAGAATAGGTAGAAAACCAAGTTCTTGATTTCCTATTTCCCGTAATACCTTTGAGATACAGGAGGCAAAAATATATATAAATAAAACAGAACTAACTTCCACAAATCTAGGAACTAACAAGGCTACTTCTAAGCTATCTACAACAACCAAATAAACACTGGCCTGATTGGATTCAACAGCCCTGCTCAAGCATGAATGTCAATCATACCCAGCTTGGATCGTAATTCTTCAAAACTCTGTCTAGGCAGTGCCTTGGTAAGGATGTCAGATATTTGCTGCTTCGATGGTATGAACATCAGCCGAAGCTTACCTTCCTCTAACTCCTCTTTGATGAAATGTCTATGTCCAAATGCTTGGTCCTTTCGTGATGTACAGGATTTTTTGCAATCTGTATTGCTGCCTTATTGTCACATTGCAGCTCCATTGGATCAGCAGGAGTAAGTTTCAACTCAGTGAGCACCATTTCAACCAAATGCCTTCACATATTCCATGACACATTGCTCTAAACTCTGCTTTTGCACTACTTCGAGAGACAACAACTTGCTTTTTGCTTCTCCAGGTTACTATTCGGTACAAGTAACCCCTTGGAACACCCACTTATAGATTTATGGTTCCATTCGCATTATACTTCACTGTGAACACCCACTTACACCCCACTGCTTGCTTACTGAAGGCAATGTCAAATATTCCCATGTGTTGTTCTTTTCAAGTGCATTCAACTCCTCATTGATAGCAGACTTCCACTCGGGATGACTATGAGCCTCTTGTATATCTTTTGGAATCGTTATAGTCTAACGATGCTACAAGGGCACTGTGTAAATGACAAACCTTTGTCATTGCCCATTGGATGAGCTGTGCATAACCTTTTCCCTTTCCTAAGAGCAATAGGTACATCTAGATCATTAGAATCATTCATGAGGCTATCATCCAAAGAATCTTCTCTAGCAGCATCATTTCTCTGTGTTACCACCTGCAGAGTTAGTAGGACTTATATCTCCATGTATTTCAGGCTAAATATCGGGTTAGTCTCTTGGCTGTATGTAGTACCAACCTCGTCTCTCCTTCCACCTTTCTGTCTTCTTGAGTATACCAAGGTTTCTATCTGGATTGATGGATTTGGTAGTTTGTTGGTTGCTAGATTGGGTGTTTCACTAGTGATAGTAGGTCGTTGGGTGTTAGGAGAAATGAAATCTGAGTAATCTGGACAAGCTGAAACTGGAGAACCAGAATCTGGATGGTCAGATGTTTTTTGCAACGGATTAGAGTGACTAGGATGAGACGGTAAAATTTGTGACCAAATATGATATTCCCCAGAAATATTCTCCCCCTTAATCCCAGATTTAGTGAAAAATGGATGATTTTCAAGAAAGATGGCATCCATAGAGTTATATACCTTCTTTGTGGAGGTGATTAACACTTGTACCATTTTTGACAACTGGAATAACCTAGAAAAATACACTTGAGAGATTTGGGATCGAGTTTGCTATGGTTTTGTGGTGGTACATGGAGGAAGATTGTGCATCCGAATACTTTAAGAGGAATATTTGATAGGAAACGAATGTTCGGATAAGCATGAGTGTTTGGAGAGGTGTCTAATAGTTTAGTACTCTGGATGACTGGATGGCATGCGGTTTATCAGGTATGCCGATGATAATATGGCATCTTCCCAAGTGAGACATTAGTAGTAAAGATAAGTGAGCAGGCAACTTCTAGGATACGTCTGTTTTTTCTCTCGGCAACTCCATGTTGTGGAATGCCGACACGAACTGAGGTGAATGAATCCATTATCTTTGAGATAGGATCCTAGGTTCCACTCAAAGAATTCAGTTCGATTATCTGTTTTCAAAACCTGGATCTTTGTGTGAAGCTGGATTTCTATCATCTTATGCAATACTTGAAATATATTTCTCACTTCGGATTTGTCTTTCATGAGGAATATCCAAGTGACACAGGTGTGATTCATCAATGAACGTGAGTAACCATCTAGTTCCAACAAACTTTTTATCCTAGATGGTCCTCAAACGTCACTATGAATTAAATAGAAAGGATGGATAAGAGGCACGAATGTCTTTCGATAGTTGACAGGCTTCACATTGAAATGCAACTGAATTTTTATTGATCAAACTAGGAAACAATTTTTTTAAGTACATAAAGCTAGGATGTCATAATCTATGATGTCAAAGAAAAACATCTTTCCTATGAAGGTTGGACTGGAAACACGAAGATGCTGAAGGCTTTGAGACGAACTTGGGCTTCAAGGAGAAGAGATCTTTCACGCGCTTTAGCACTGCCAATCGTCCTCCCCGAGTTCGAGTCCTGAAATTCACATAAAGTAGAAGTCATCTTAGTAATACAATTTAAGTCCATTAGCTTATCATAAACAATAAATTGTAAGAGAGATTGGGAACATAAAGAACAGAGTTGAGGATAATGTCCTTAAAAATAATATGGTACCAATACCCTTAACCTTCAATAGGAGGCCATCTGCTGTACGGACTTTAGCACTAGTACTGTTAGGTTGCAGCTTTTCCAACACACTGACATTCCCAGTCAAATGATCTGTTGCTCCGGAGTCGATGATCCAATTTTCTGCACTAGCGTTTAATATGGTGGGTGCATGGTCACTTTGAGCAACCGCTGCCACACCCTTTCCTCCGAGCACTGACTGACTGGAAGGTCACTTGTAGCATTTTTTGCAAAGCCTCAGATTGTTCCTTAGTGAATGGACTGTTTTCTGTGGCTGCAACAGGGCCAGACGATTGAAATGACTGCCTCGCTGAAGGGTTTCCATGTATATTCCAGCATATGTCCTTCATGTGACCGGGAATCTTGCAGTGATCACACCAAGGACGATTTCCAAATCGCTTTCCGTCACTGTTGCTGCTGCTATTGTTGGTCCTTTGTTGCTGTTTCGTAATCGGAATATTCCCACTTTTGATTAGAGTGGGTGTTATATTCGACATGGATGTCTGATGAGGATTCTCGGTGGCAATGCCACTTTGGGTTTCGCTCACCAGGGCTGTTCACCCATATTTAGTCATCAATTTGACGACTTGGAATGAAGTAATAGGTCAGATCTGCTCTGATACCATATAGAGAGTAGAATAGGCAGAAAACCAAGTTCTTGATTTCCTTTTTCCGTAATACCTTTGAGATACAAGAGGCAGAAATATATAAAATAAAACAGAACTAACTTCCACAAATCTAGGAACTAACAAGACTACTACTAAGCTATCTACAACAACCAGATAAAGCACATAATCTTTTATCATTACAGCTGGCCTGATCGGATTCAACATTCACATCTATCTCAAAGGGCCTGCATGAAAATGTCGTTGGTTGTAACCTTGCTTCGTGGAAGTTTTGGAAACATGTTGTAGTTTCTTGCTTCAGTGCAAAGTCTCATTATCAAAACAAGCATCTAATTTGAGATGGTTCGAACTAGTGCCTTGTATCAAATATCAATGCTTGGAATTCTCCAGAAATGGATGGGCTTATGTATTGAGTGCCAAATGACTATTCCTATTGTAAGAACCAGGTCTTCCATGAGCATAACATATTGAAGTTGTCATTTCGAACAAACTTGCATTGTAAAAAAAGAGAGGGAGCCTCCATCCATCCAGTCAATGTGCTTATGGAATGAGTTTCAACTTATTAATATCCTGAGAAAGCCTCACGAAAGACTCATGTAGAATCCACATGCACCAAGTAGTGCAGGACTGGAAAGGCTCCAACTGTGTCTTGGATATATTAGTATTTTACATGTCTATCATACGGGTTGTTATACCTTATATCTGGGGTCTTGTCGTCTTTATATTATTCTATGAACCATAAACATTGAACTATTATGAAATAGCTGGTATAGATTTCTTTTAAGGGAAGTAAATTTCGTCGTGGCTGGAGTTCAGAAGTCATGATGCAAGAGATGAAGTGCTGATGAGCCAATAAAATACTTGTTTATACGAGTTGTTGCCGCTACCTTCAGTAATTTCACTGATGACTTGAGCGGAAAGCTTCCTGCTCTACCATGGGAGTAATGTCATTTCAGTAGTTATTAATTTGAGGTGGTTTCGCCTTAGGGTGTATGGTCATTTAGTCAGTCAGCACGTATGGAATCCTTATTAACAAGTTTCCTAACCAAATTATAGCGGTTTGTAGCTTTTGGTTGTTTAACCATTTTCCACAAACTTTCAGCAAACCTTTTTTTCCTCTTCTTTTTCATCACTTATCTTGCAGCAAAGAATTTACTGTTAGTTCCTTTAGATGGTCACTTATCATGGGATTCAACAACTTAACTGAAATTGTTCCCTTTTTAGGTATTAGACTTGTTGGTTTCTTTATATTTTTTGCAAGCTAATATTTCCATGACTTTCCTATCATTATCCAACTTCTAATTAAAAAGCACCATGAAATAAAAAGAAAATCCTTTATTATCTCCTTGCCCTCCAACTCTTTTCTGCTATGCATGCTACACCACCATTAAACTACAGATCTTTTGTAAGTTGTATATGACCTTTACTTGGTTTCCAACATATTCGTGATCTACAACCAAATTTGATGTCATGTCATGCCATCACTAAATATTATCGAATGCATCCATCTTGATGGCATTTACAGCAGCAAAACAGAATTTTGATTTACTGGGAAAGACGTGAAGATAATTCTGTTCGTTCAAATTGGATACTGATGGATCAGGCACAAACTAGTTTTTGGAAAGGTGTTGGTTGTATGATAGATGGCTGTACATCAATAAGAAATGTTATTGTTCCTAGATGTGAAGATAATTCCATTCGGTTTGAATTGGATATTGATAAGAACATGCACAAACTAGTTTTTCGGAAGGTGTTGGTTGTATGATGGATGGCTGTACATCAATAATAAATTTCATCATTTCTACAGAATGTAATATATGAAACTTGCTGATTTGATTTTTTTCACCCATCAGCTTTGAAATGATTTTCGTTTATACTGTAAACAGGATATGTATTGGTGTCAAAAATGAGTAAAGTACGATCTGAGAGAGCTTCTTCGGAAATGTGGAAGGTAATATTCAAGTCCGGTGTGAATATTTCCTAATATATGACATTGTTTAAGCTCCCATTTGTATCAATCACATCATGACTACTGTCTTCTTTTATATAAGTGAACACAAGCGTCAGTAGTTTGAAGACAAATGGCTTACATCCCAACATTTTGATGGTTCTTGTGAAATGCAAAGCTTTGTCCGTTTTTTGTCTTTGTTAGAATGAATACGGTATATATTTACTTAGGCCTACTAAACCCATGGGCCCTTAGGGTTTCTCTTTGTCTAGGTTTTCTATCTATTTATATCCTTATATCCTTTTTGTGTAAAATATAAGTTAAAAGCAATAATATAATCCCTGATTACATGGTATCAGAGCTTGGTTTTGTAACGATCACTAGTTTCACGGATCGAAATTTTTGTTCTTTGATTAGGGTTCTTGTTCTTCTAGTTTCGGTTTCTTCCTTGTGTGGGATCGGTTTTGCTGGTTGTTTGTGGGCTTCGGTTTATCCCTGTGATCTGTATCTCGTGGCTGCTGTTTGCTAAACTCTCAGATCTGGTCGTGTTTCAAAGATACGGCTAGTAGGGTTTTTTTAGGGTTTCTTGTGCAGTGTAATCAGAGAGAACTCTATATTATATGATTAATCAGTAAAAATTCAAATTTACAAGAGGAGAGACACTATATATAGACATAATTACACGGGAAACCCTAACCCTAAAGCCCATCGGGCTTGGACACATTACCATAAACAGTTTATTTAATTAACACTCTCCCTCAAGCTGGAGCATATATATTGATCATGCCTAGCTTGTTACAAAAAGATGTGATTCGGTTCCCTGGTAATGCTTTGGTGAAGACGTCGGCTAATTGATTGCTAGTATTGACATAAGAGGTTGAAATAGATCCATCTTCAAGCTTTTCCCGAGTGAAATGACAATCTATTTCAATATGCCTAGTTCTCTCGTGAAATACAGGATTGCTTGCAATATGGATAGCTGCGTCATTGTCACACCATAAATTCATCGGTTTAGATTGATTAAATCCAATCTCTCCCAATAGATTACGTAGCCATATCAACTCACAAGTAGTATGAGCCGTTGCACGGTATTCTGATTCAGCGCTTGATCTTGATACAACATTCTGCTTCTTGCTTTTCCAAGATACCAGATTCCCTCCCACAAAGACACAGCCTGTTGTTGATCGTCTGGTTGTAGGGTCTCCATCATAGGAGCTTCACATGGTTTTGTGTCGATCATGCCAGAATCATGTAGTATGTCAAGGCAGTATTTTCGTTGAGATAGGCAAATTCCTTTGTGATTCCAAGATACCTCAATACCCAAGAAATATTTCAGTGGACCAAGGTCCTTAGTTTGAAATTGAGATGCGAGGAATTCTTTCAACTTCTTAATTCCATTCTCATCACTKYCYGTAATCACAATATCATCGACATAAACCACTAGCAGGATACATCCAGAATCAGATGAAGTAAAGAACACTGAGTGGTCATATGAGCTTCTTCGTAACCCAAATGTAGTTACCACAGAATTGAACCGACCGAACCATGCACGAGGTGATTGCTTTAGGCCGTATAACGACTTCCGTAATTTATAGACCTTCCCAGACTCCTCCTAAGCAACAAACCCGGGGGGTTGCTCCATGTAGACTTCCTCTAGCAGATCGCCATGTAAGAAGGCGTTTTTCACATCTAATTGGTGAAGAGGCCAATTATAGGTAGTAGCTAGAGAGATGAAAAGCCGAATAGACGCCATCTTTGCAACAGGAGAAAAAGTCTCAGAATAATCCACTCCATAAGTTTGGGCATACCCCTTTGCAACCAAACGAGCTTTTAACCGTGCTATCGAGCCATTAGGATTAACTTTCATAGTAAACACCCACTTACAGCCAATTGCTCTTTTGCCAGCAGGTAACTCTACCAAATCCCATGTGGTGTTATGATCAAGAGCATTGAGCTCATCAATAATAGCATCTGGCCATCCAGGATGAGTCAAAGCTTCTCCAACCGTAGATGAAATAGGTATAGAATCAAGGGTAGAGACCAAACAACGAGATGACCTGGAGAGTTTATCATAAGAAACAAATGAAGCAATAGGATACGTGCATGAACGTTCACCTTTCCGGAGAGCAATAGGAGCGTCAAGATCAGGATCCTCATTTACTGGAGTGGGTATAGAAGCTTCAGGAGGTACATCTTCTGGGGATGGTGGATCTGCAGACTCAGATGATATTGGTGAAGACGGAGAAGGTCGTTCGCGCCTATTATATACATGAACAATGGGTGGTATGGTGGCTTGAGTAGTGGACTCAGGAGTGGGTATGGTATACACCAACAAGTCATCATCTTTCTCATTTAAAGGAGTCGGAGGGGAAATTGGGAAGAACGGCACGTTCTCATGGAAGGTAACATCCCGAGATACAATATAGTGGTTAAGATTGAGAGAGAAGCACCTGTAACCCTTTTGGAGACGAGAGTACCCAAGGAACACGTATTTCAGAGATTTGGGATCAAGCTTGGTGATAGTGGGGCGTGTGTCACGAACAAAGCATGTAACACCGAAGATCTTTGGCTCAATAGGGAATAATCGTTGTCCTGGGAACAAAACAGAGAATGGAGTTTCTCCATTCAGGACAACAGACGGCATTCTATTGATAAGAAAACAGGCTGTTGATACTGCATCGGCCCAAAAAGACTTAGGGACGAACATCTGAAACAGAAGTGCTCGAGCAACCTCAAGGAGGTGACGAGTTTTTCGTTCGGCTACCCCATTTTGTGCTGGAGTATCAACACATGAGGACTCATGAAGAATACCATTTTGCAACATATAGGATTGAATTTGTTGGGATACATACTCTTTTGCATTGTCACTTCGTAAGGTTTTAATAGATGTTTGAAACTGAGTTTGGATTTCAGAATGAAAGGAACGTAAATGATTAAACACTTCTGTACGGTTTTTCATGAAGTATAACCAAGTAGTTCGAGAATAATCATCTACAAACGTAACAAAATACGTAAAACCAGACTTAGACGTTATAGGACATGGCCCCAGACATCAGAATGTACTAATTGAAATGGGGACGCAGCCCGCTTATTGACTCTAGGACTTAAGTGAACACGTTGATGTTTGGCAAACTGACATGACTCACATTGTAAATACTGTAAATGGGAAAATTTAGGACACAACTTCTTGAGACTCTGTAAGGAAGGATGACCTAGTCGACAATGAACTTCAAAAGGAGATGATGAACTGGAACTTGCCAAGGAATATGGTGTGGGTGGTTCAAATATGTATAGGCCATCCGACTCCCGTCCTCTACCATTAATCCTCTTCGTCTGCAAATCCTGAAAGACACAATGATCAAGAAAGAATGAGACACTACAATTCAAAATGCGAGTAATTTTGCTCACAGACAGTAAGTTAAAAGAAAATTTTGGTAGGCTCAGGACTGAGGATCACGAGACAGATGGGAACAATTTAACAGTGCCAGACCCAATTATTTGGGAGACAGATCCATCAGCTACTGTGACTTGAGCTGAGGATGCATGTTTATTGAAATTTAGGAGAAGGTGGGAATTACCAGTCATATGGTCTAAGGCACCTGAATCAATGACCCATTTGGAGGAGGATGATACAAAACATTTGCCAGAGTTACCTGTCTCAGCAAACATAGCAGTGGAAGCAGCGGGGTGCTCATTTACCATATGAGGTTCCTCTTTGTGTCTCATAGCTGTGTCATCTGATGTAGTTGCAGCATGTGCTAAGGAGAGTCTCTGATTTCTAACCTGCCGTTTCTTGCAATTAAACTTAGTATGACCAAGTTCATGACAGTAGTGGCACTCTACGTCTGAGTTAAAATCAGCTGGTCGATTATTGTGGCCTCCTCTAGTGCTACCCCTTCCACGATAGCCACCTCGAAAACCGCCACGGTATCCACCTCGGCTAAGTAAAGCCGAATTATGATCAGATGGTTGAGTAGGTCGAAAATCTTCATGCCGAAGAACCCGAGCAAGAGTCTCTTGAAGAGAAGGTATCACGGATTCATTTAAGAACTGAGATCTGATGGAATCATATTCTGGGCGTAAGCCAGTTAGGAAGCTTATGACAACAATCTGTTCCTTTTGAGTCTGCATAGTTTTCACATCAGTACTCAATGGGAGAAGAGAGTTCATTTCCTCATATCTTCTTGAATTCCATGGCATAGGCGGTAAGTGATCGGTCCTGTAGTTCCCCACGATGGAATGACTTACGCTGTAAATCCTTGAAATATTACTTTGTCCGGAGTACAGGAAGTCAAGATATTCTATTAGCTCTTTCACATATTCACAGTGACTGATTAAAGTTGAAACGGAGGGCTCAATAGAATTTATAATTTGCAAGAACATACGGGCATCTTGTTGTAACCAAAGGTCACGATTACCCGTAGTGGGAGGGTCAGATTCTAGATGGGAAGTCATTCCCATACTTCGAACATACAAACTAATCGTTTTGATCCATTCGAAGTAATTGTTACCATTAAGCTTGTTTTCAGTAACTTATTACGTCAGGAACACGAGTACTACCGGAGGCTTTATCATCTGTTCGTCATATTAATCAAATCAGAAACGAACACCCAAGGGACAGATTATCAAAGGAAACCAGACTAAACAGATAGCAATTAACAGAGTTTGACCAAACAGATGAGATCAGATCTGTTGCGACTAGATAACAGCAAAATTAGACCAAAAATACAGGAAAACAAACCAGATTGGGGGGGGGTTCCGACGTGAACAGTAACTCCGATGTGAATAGTAACTCCGATAAACCCTAGGCTCTGATACCATGTAATCAGAGTGAACTCTCTATTATATGATTAATCAGTAAAAATTCAAATTTACAAGAGGAGAGACACTATATATAGACATAATTACACAGGAAACCCTAACACTAAAGCCCATCGGGCTTGGACACATTACCTTAAACAGGTTATTTAATTAACATGCAGCAAGGGTTCTTGATCCTAGGCATTTTGGTTTATGATTTGCTGCTGTCTGGATTTGGTTGCTGCCGGTTTTTTAATCCAGATCTGGGAGTGTTCTTCTTCCTCACGACTTCAGATCTGTTTGCGTCTGGGTGCTGCTTCCTCGGCTGTTTGATGCTGCTGTGATTCGGGGCTGTTTTGCTTGATTATTTTGGTCGACAGCAAGCTTTCTGCTGTTGTTTGAGCGACAGCAAGTTTTGCTGCTGTTTTTTGCTTGTTGCCCAAGTCTAAGCTAAGGATTCAATTCGTTTTGCTTCGGTTTGCTGCAGGTTTTCTTTCCAGGTTAGCAGCCCTCCCAGGCTACTGCTGTTTTTTTGTTTTTAAACGCTTCATTTTCAGTTCCCTTGAATCGGAAGTTTTTTGTTTATCGGTTTTTTTGGCACCCTGTGAGTGCGTCATTTGCTTTCTGGTTTGCTATCTTTCGTTCTAAGTTCTACATTCTCTCTTCTGGTTCGTGATTTATTGGAAGATGACTGGAGAAGACAAAACATCTGACAGTAACAGTAGTTTATGTGTACCCGAGATGCTTCCAGTAAATGTTAAGCTCACCGACAACAAGCTTAATGGCTCCAACTACTTTGAGTGGAACAAAACTATTCGTATCTATCTTCGGAGCATGGGAATGGCTTCTCATCTCACATCGGATCCTCCTTAATGTAACGGTTCTGATTCATGGTTCCAAAGCGATGCTCGTTTGTACTTACAAATTATCAATACTATTGAGCCTTCTGTTTCGTCTTTGGTTAGTCACTGTGAATATGTGCAGGAACTTATGGATTATCTTATTTTTTGTATTCTGGACAAAGTAAATTCTCTCGAATATATAGTGTTTGTAAGCCCTTTCATCGTGGAGAACAACATGACCGACACTCACTACGTATGTCATGGAGTTCAAGAAAGTGTATGAGGAGCTTAACTCTCTTCTTTCATTAAGTGCTGATGTCAAAGCCATGCAGACTCAGAGGGAACAAGTGGCTGTTATCAGTTTCTTGACTGGTTTGCGACCAGAATTTGACTCTATCAGATCTCAGTTCTTGAATGAATCTGCTATTCCTTCTCTTCAAGAAACATTTTCTCGTGTTCTTAAGAATGAGAATCTTCAGGCTTTTCAAACTTCTAATCGCAACAGTGCTCTGGTTGGTCGAGGGGGATTTCGTGGTGGCTACCGAGGAGGATTTCGTGGGGGTCACCGTGGTGGCTCTAGAAGTGGCCACAGTGATCGAACAACTGACTCACGGGCTACTATTCCAGATTCTGATAATGTTGAGTGTTACTAATGCCATGAGTTAGGTCACACCAAGTGTACATGTAAGAAGCTTTTGGCCAGACATTCGAGGAGTTCATCAGCGCACATTGCCTCTGCCTCACTGTTACTATACCCGCAGAAGAATATGCTCGACTTTTAGGGACCGAGAATTCCACTGCTCCGACTGCTGCATTTGCTGAGACAGGTAACTCTAGTACATGCCTATTATCTTCTGCCTCCAAATGGGTTATTGATTCAGGTGCTCCAGATCATATGACAGGTAATCCCACCATCTTTTCTAAGTTCAGTAAACACAAATTCCCATCACATGTCACAATTGTTGGCGGGTCTACCACACCTGTCCTTCTGGCACCATCGATCTTACCCCGTCTGTTTCGTTATCTTCCATATTGAGACTATCTAATTTCTCGTTCAATTTGTTATCAGTCAGCAAAATTACCCGTGCTTTAAATTGTTGTGTCTCATTCTTTCCTGATTTATATGTCTTTTAGGATCTGTCGACGAAGAGGATTATTGGTAGAGGGCGGGAGACTGATGGCCTATACGTATTTGAACATCAAGTACCTTCCTCATTGACTTGTTCCAGCTCATCGTCTCCACTTGAAGTTCATTGTCGATTAGGTCATCCATCTTTACAGAATCTGAATAAGTTATGTCCTGAGTTTTCTTATTTACCTTCTCTACAGTAAGTCTTGTCAGTTTGCCAAACATCAGTGTATTAATTTAAGTCCTGGAGTCTGTAATAAACGGGTCTCATCCCCATTTGAGTTAGTCCGTTATGATGTTTGGGGACCATGTCCTGTTACTTCAAAACTTGGGTTTAAGTATGTTGTTACGTTTGTTGATGATTACTCTCGCACTACTTGGCTTTACTTTATGAAAAATCGATCTGAGGTTTCACACATTTTTGTTCACTCTATGCTGAGATTAAAACTCAGTTTAAAGTCTCCATTCAAACTCTTCGTAGTGATAATGCAAAAGAATATTTGTCCCAAACATTTCAGTCATATATGATTCAAAATGGCATTCTTCATGAGTCTTCCTGTGTTGACACACCATCCCAAAATGGGGTTGCGGAACGAAAGAATCATCATCTCTTAGAGGTGGCTCGGGCTTTATTATTTCACATGACTGTTCCTAAAGTCTTTTGGGCTGATGAAGTTGCTACCGCTTGTTTTCTTATCAACCGAATGCCTTCCGTTGTCTTGGATGGTAAAAGTCCTTTCTCAGTTTTGTTTCCTACAAAATCATTGTTTCTTGTCAACCCAAAGATCTCTGGTAGTTCCTGTTTTGTCCGCGATACCCGACCTCACATAACTAAGTTGGATCCAAAGTCCCTTAAATGTGTCTTTCTTGGTTACTCTCGACCTCAAAAAGGGTATAAGTGTTTTCCCCCATGCTTAATCGATACATTGTATCACGAGACGTTACATTCCGTGAGAATATACCCTTTTTTTCTATGTCCACTCCTTGCAACCCAAGAGATAGTGATGATTTGCTGGTGTATACCATACCTATTCCTGAGTCTACTACCCCATCCGACTCGACACAGACCCAAGAGCCTACTAAACCACCGATAGTTCATGTGGCACTACATCAGATCCCAACCCAACACCATCTTCATCATCGTCTGCAGATCCGCCTAATGATGATCCTCTTGCTTTGAGTAATCCACCACCTTCTAATACACAGGTCCTGATCTTGATGTTCCCATTGCTCTTCGGAAGGGTAAGCGCTCATGTACTTACCATATTTCTTCTGGTGTTTCCTATGATAAACTTTCTTCATGTTCTCGTTCTTTGATCTCTACACTTGATTCTTTATCTATTCCTAAAACGATTGGTGAAGCTTTGGCCCATCCTGGATGGCGGGATGCTATGATTGATGAGATGAATGCTCTCGATCATAATGATACATGGGCTTTGGTAGAGTTACTGCAAGCAAAAAGGCAATTGGCTGTAAATGGTATTCACTGTGAAAGTTAATCCAGATTGATCCATGGTTTGTCTGAAAGCCCGATTGGTAGCCAAAGGATATGCTCGAACTTATGGAGTCGACTACCACAAGACATTTTCTCCTATGGCTAAGGTACTCCCCCCCCCCCCATCCGTCTGTTTGTTTCATTAGCCGCTACTTACGACTGGGTACTACACCAACTGGATGTGAAAAATGCCTTCTTACATGGTGATTTACATAAGGAAATCTATATGAAGCAACCACGTGGGTTTGTTGCTCAGGGGGAGTCTGGTAGAGCTTGTAAACTGCGTAAATCATTGTATGGTTTAAAGCAATCCCCTTGTGCTTGGTTTGGACGGTTTAATGCCGTAGTGACTGAGTTCGGCTTATGGAGGAGCTCTTATGATCATTCTGTGTTCTTTACTTCGATCATCCAGATGTATTCTACTACTGGTATACGTTGATGACATTATGATTACTGGGAGTGATGAAACTGGGATCAAGAAGCTAAAAGACTTCCTTGCGTCTCGGTTTCAAACAAAGGACCTAGGTCCTTTAAAATACTTCTTGGGAATTGAATATCTCGTACTCGGAAAGGGATATGTTTGTCTCAACGGAAATATTGTTCAAATATATTGAATGACTCTGGTATGATTGAAACAAAACCTTGTGAGGCCCCAATGATTCCAAATATGAAATTGAAAGCGGACGATGGAGATCTACTTGAGGATCCAGAAAAGTACAGAAGAATTGTGGGAAAGCTAAACTACCTAACGATTACACGTCCTGACATCGTTTTTTCTGTGAATGTAGTAAGTCAGTTTATGTCATCTCAGAGAACTCCACATTAGGACGTTATTAGGCATATACTGAAGTATCTAAAGGGTGCTCCTGGTCTTAGTATCCTTTATTAAAATCACGGTCATCATGTCATAGAAGGGTTCACAGATGCCGACTATAATGGGGATCCTACTACTAGGCCGTCTATGACAGGCTATTGTGTGTTGGTTGGAGGGAATCTAGTTTCATGGAAAAGCAAGAAACAGAATGTCGTTTCCCGGTTAAGTGTTGAATCTGAATACAAGGCTATGGCCCAAACCACTTGCGAGCTGATATAGTTGGGCGTAATCTGCTAGGCGAAATTGGGTTTGCTCAATCTAAACCAATGAACCTCTACTCTGATAATGAGGCGGCTATCCACATTGCAAACCATCCGATGTTTCATGAAATAACAAAACACATCGAGGTTGAATGCCATTTCACTCGTGAAAAGCTAGAAGATGGAATCATCTCAACTCCCTTTGTTCTAACAGGAAGACAACTTGCTGATGTCTTTACCAAAGCTTTACCTGGTTCGCGAATCTCTTTTATTTGTAACAAGTTGGGCATGATTAACATATATGCTCCAGCTTGAGGGGGAGTGTTAGAATGTAAATACGGTATATATTTACTTAGGCCCATTAAGCCCATGGGCCCTTAGGGTTTCTCTTTTGTCTAGGTTTTCTATCTATATATATCGTTGTATCTTTTCTGTGTAAAATATAAGTTAAAAGCAATAATATAATCCCTGATTACAGTCTTAATATATTTTGCTGCTCCTTACTGCCAAACAATTGTGCTTGTTATATTGCAACATATGTTTGCAGGTTGCTGGACTTGCCATGGTTTCTGTTCTTTGTTTTACTACAAGTTCAGTTGTTGCTGTTTTCACAAATATACCGGTACGTAGTTTTCTTGTTTATAATGCTCGGTCCTTGGAGTCATGCTCCTCAAGTGCCCATGCCATTGTTGCAGGTGCTGTATCATTGTGGTTGGCGGAGCATTGGAGGGATATATGCCTCTCTTCTACTGATTCTCTACTACCTTATAGGTAAAGAAATGACCATTTTTTTTAAAAACCTAATCTTATTCATGGTTCCACGTTTACCCTTATATTTCCTGTAGTGACAAGATCAAGCACACTGTCCTTTTTTCTTCTTGTGTGGAAAAAGAAGGGAAAAGTCTGAAAAAACGCAATGGACATTCATATTTTGAGCAATGAAGTCCATGAATCTCGCAGTAGAGTTCCAAACCTCACCTCGCTCTTGTGACATGCTATGTTTCCCCTCTCTATTCCCAAGTAAAGCATTTTTTTGAACAAATAAATCCTTTCATTTACTGAAACCAAACAAATTGATCCTTTCTAACTTATAAAAGCGGTTAATGTGGTAAAATCATGGGAAAATCTGGAAAAAAAAACTCATTAGCGGACTTTCATATTTTGAGCTATCAAATCCCTGAATTTTCTTTTTAATGACTAAATCCTTAAAACTTATAAAACAAAAGGAATATATACCATTTATCTCTTAATTTATTAACAGATCAGTACAATGAACCAGTAGAACAGAAAATATATACCATTTCTATTAGCCACTCCAACGTATAATATGCCAAAAGTTGTTGCTATCCCATTTACAAAATATGCCAAAAGATATGCCCATCTCACTAACAAATGAATATACTAAAAGTTGTGCCCTTTGTAATTACAAAATAAAGCCTAGTCTATATTAAGAACCTTATCTATTGAAGACCCACCTCCATCTTGGTGGTCATGTACAGGGTTTCTGAGTTTGTTTTTGAGCATTCCTTTTTTTTACTTTAAAGCCCATTTTTACCACCAGAGCCGGTTACTGGTCAATTTTTAGGGTCTGAAAGACCATCTTGTTCGATTTCAGTAATTGCAGGGATCTATTTGTTCAAAAAATGTCCAGTGATTTAATCAATCCAAATATGAAAGTGTGTTGGGTTTTTTTCAGACTTTTCCTTTACTTTAAAAGCCATTTTTACCACCATAGCCAGTTACCGATCATTTTTAGGGGCTGAAGTACCATTTTGTTGATTTCAAAGTGCAAGGATTTATTTGCTAAAAAAGTCAGGGTTTTAATCCTTCAAAATATGAAAGTGCGTTGGATTTTCTCATACTCTTTCCGATAAAGAATTAGGAAGAAGATTTGCAATAACAGAGATGACAGGGATGGAAGTAGACTGATCTTTCCCCTAATTTCCTGTAATAGCAATATCAAGTGCACAATTGTTTTTTCTTTGTTGAAAAAAGAATTAGGAAGAAGACTTGCAATAATATGGATGACGGGGAAGGAAGTAGACTTACGAAAAAAGGATGACGGGTCTATTGGTCCATTTGCAGCTTATTTCACATGTTAGAATATAGATTGAAATTTGTATCCCAAATGAAAATATGTTTGATGATCAGTTTTCTTTTGATAGAGGGGTCATTTTGTCACTTGAGGATCAATTAAAGGTGCAATGTAGCCAAATAGAACTTGTGACATTTAGCCCTAAATTTCTTCATGTTCAGTTAGATCAATCCCATGGACACTAGTTTGCAAGAAGTTGGTGTCTTTATAGTACAATGTACAAAATTCTGGATCATACCATGTTTTTTTTCCAGGTTCATCAATACCTTCAGCTTTTGTGTTATGGATAATGAGAGAACTTCCACCATCAGTTGCGATTAATGTACCCGAAGAATCAAGAACACTAACTTTTGTCAGCGACTATTCAGCTACAACACAACCCCAGCATTGGACGACTATTACGACCGCACAGAATCAGGTTCAAAAGCTTCATTTGCTAATCTTATATAAGCTGTTGGTCAACTTCTACGTTTATTTCATTGGCATGTTTATCCAATATCCATTTTAAGCTTCTCATTTGTCTCTCTTGGTGAATATAAATATGCAAACAATTTCTGGAAATGATATGATATAGAGATTATTTAAACCAAACAAAATGTAAGGAATTAATCCCACACAGAGTAGGTTGTAGGAAGGGTAAAAGAAGCAGAGAGTTTGTTTCCGTGAAGAATTTACTATTTTGCAAGATATCAAGGACATGGAAGTCTTTTGAATAACCATGGTATTTGACACCTATTGCCCAACTCGTCCATGAGGTCTATGCAAAGTTCTACCTATTCTATGATAAAATAGAAATGGTTCCACTGGCTAGAATCTTCATAGAATTGACACAAACTGTTCATGGCATATCGATTTAAAAGAGTGCGCTTTGCATGAGTTTGGACAGCTATGACTCAATTTATCGGAGTTTCAATTTTGAAATATGTGATTGTAGTTATGTCTCTTATGACGGAATGGGAAATAATATTATCTGATATATGGTAAAAGGACAAATACCCTCCCCCCCCCCCCCAAAACAAACCAAAACCACTCTACTCTGTGTGTAGATGTTAAGTTTGCAAACATCCCACCCTCCTCCAGACTCCACCTCCATATGGGAGATACTGAGGTCATTTGGTTTGGTTATTTGGTGAAAAGACATTGAACAGGGGCCTTCATGGAACTGGGCCCGTTTTGGTCAGGTCTCTCTTTACCACGCTTTGACAAAATGGGGATCTTCACAGAAACAACAGTCCTGCTCTACGTACATTGTACCCCTTCCAGACCCCACCTACAGTTGGGTTCTACTGGCTCGTTTTAGTTATGGTTTTGGACACATCAACAGGGGAGTAACCATTAGTTAAAGTTTGTTACATGCTGCTGAATTATGTGAATGTTGGTGGCCTTTACACTTGTTTTTTTCTGCTTACCATTTGGTCTGTGTAAAACAAGTCGGAATTTGATGGGGTTTTAACTGCAGACATCAAGGGCAAGTCCGATATGACTGGAATTCAGCAAACAACGAACAATCTTCATGACTGAACACGAAAAAGAAGGAAAGCGGATGAAAAGGGCAAGTGAGATGAAAAAGCCAAATCTTTTACTGCCATGTTGCTATGATTTTGATAGTTTAGGTTCTCGTAAATATCAGCAGTAACCATTCTGTTTTTTTGTATTTGAATGTATGGGAGCCTCGGTATCAAAATTAGATGTTTTGTTTATTTTAATCAACTTTCGTGTCTAAAATTCGAGAACCACCTGAATTCCCATTTGTGGCCATGGGTCCGTCACTTTTGAAAAGTTTTTTTTTTCAATTTATCACCTTCTGACAAGTTTTAGCATGCCTTTCCCCAAAACTTATCTTATAAGAAGGTTGTGTTCCCTTGGTGCTTTCATGCCTATCAAGGCATCAAATCCACATGCACTTTTGAGATGGTAATTTTGAGCAAAAAAACACATTTTCTTTGTTATCGACGTTTTGACCCAAATAAAATTTGATTAAAACTAAAACAATATAATGATTCTTTTATTTATTTGCAATTTGGGGTATTCTGCTCCTTCAAACCATAGTTTCGAGTGAAATATACTAGGTTGGTTTGGTTTGGTTTATTTTCACTCATTTCTAATGTGGCCGCTAGATCTTAGAAGTTGTTATAAACTAGAAGAGTATTCGCGCAATGCAGCGAGACACATCTCGATTTTAATGTTCTATTTTATTATTTATCTCTGTCGATGTTATAATACGATTTTATGTGATTTTAAGAAAGCAATAATGATTTTATTTTTGAATAAAATATAAATTTGAAATATCATAAAAATTTTAAAAAAATATATCAATGTTAATATCAAATCAACTATTTAAAAGTTCTCATTTTTTTAATGTAATTTCTTTAATTTATTTTTTTTATTATAATTTAATTTAAGTTTAATAATGAAATAATTTATTTTTGGTTTAATAATATAACATTTTATAAAGATAATCATTAAGTATTCTGTTAAAACTCAAAGATTATCCTAATTATATTAAATTTTTTATATTTAAAATGAGATGTTTATCCTGTATTTGATTATGTTTATCTAGAGTTAGTTACACAAATTCGGATATGGAGCTTTAATAAGTTGTATTTACGCACATCTACTTGCAATCTTGAGTTTTAAGTAATATTCATTAATAAACAGTATTTTACGCATAAAAAGTGGTTTTTAAGAGTTCTTGTCAAATGTTTTATAATATAGTATAGATATCTCCAACATTTGCAAGAATCATTAATCAATCTTGTTAAGTAAAATGATTTTTATACCTTTTAATGTCACAATACGAAATTAAAAACAAGGTAAAATATGAAGTTATTTATTGCAGTTTCCCGAAGGTAACAAGTGAGGTTCATTTGTAGCTTGAAAAAATTATTACTCCCTTGAAGAATTGTCTCTATAGATTCAGGTAGTAAAATGCAAGACATCCAAAAAGCCGAAGCCATGAAGAGTTCACGATTCTACAACTCATGAATTGTTCAACTCCTCTGCTACCTGTAATCAAAACACATAGGACTTAAATTTCAACACAGACAAATGTATAAACTAAACGAGTCCAGTATATCACATACGGAGGTGGCGTATTCGGGGTACACATACATGATTCCTACCCTAAAGAGTATAGTGCTTGTTTTTGTTACAAACCCCGACTAGTGAAAAGTCATGAAAGGACTAATATGAGTAAGAACAGATAAAGACAGATATCATAAACTTTGAGAAAGTAGAAATGAGTAAGCAACAACAATATAAATAGAAGCAAGTACAGGAAAAATATAACCAATGTACAAAAACGACCTACCCCTAGTCCAACCTGGGTTTCTAGTAACCTAACTACTGACGAATGTATCTCAAATGTATTTTAAATGTCCTAAGAGAGTCTCATTTAGACAAACTAGAGAACGATATAATTACATTCTTATAGACCATAACGATATCTTAATTTTGTGGATCAAGATCTCATGGGCAACTTTGATGCACGAAGGCTCATGGGCTTTACGAAGGGTTTATAAGCATCATTACATTAATATATAAAAAAAAAGATCATTTCCACAACTCCAACCTATGACCTTATGGAGTTATGGTCTTAAGGAGTAATTTTCCCGGTTGCACCAGGGATAGCCTCTCTCACATAATGTAAAAATTGCATTTGCTAGTCATATTTAACTTGTAAAGGTCTTTAATTCTCGTCTCTAGCTTTAATCTTTTTTCCTTTCACCATCTTTCTCCTTTTTTTCATTTTGTTCAGATTTTTAGGCAAACTTTCTTTTCTGTACACTTTTTGCTAGCCAAGGGTCTTATGGAAACAACTGCTCTACTATTTAGGGTAAAGGACAAGTCAACATACTTCACACCCCCCAGACCCCACCTCCAGCCAGGTGGTTATATTGGGATCATTTGATTTGGTATCTACTTCTTTCTAAAGGTCAGCACTTAGCAAGTTAGGAAAAAGTTAAGCCAGGTAAGAAATTATTAACATAAAAATTCTTATGCAGGTCATGCATCAAGAAAAAGCAATATGTATAATGAAGTAAAATGACATATGCAGGATGTACCTTAAGGGCAGGGTCAACAGTTTGCGGTCTCCTCCCAATTAATCCGAATGCACCAGCAGGCCATATCTGTAACATTTATACATGTTTTTTTAACAACAAAATTTCATGATTTCCGCATTACATGTAAAATACCTATCATAAGTGCCAAGTTGAAAGTTTAAAAGAAAATCATTTTTCACTCAGCTACAAAAGCACAAACAAACATACTTCTTTCCCACAGCAAAGTAGGATCGGCGCATAAACTTTAAATGGAGTCACTCATCCTTTAGAAATTCAAACCCAGTATTTATTTTTCAAATAGAAGTGACATAGTTGCCAACTGTTTATCTAAAAAAAAATCGATGTAATCCTTTCTTAGAAGGTTAATGTAGTCAATTTTTCTTCTACTAGCAAAAAAGTTGATAACAATCTCAAAGTCAACAAGATATCATTACGAGGTTAATTCCAAAAAGTCAAGTGTGGTCTTGTGGGGCAGAATGCAGATGTAGTAACTGAAACAATTAGGATCCGAAAGTGTAACTCTGTTTGATAAAAGTCGGATATATTCAAGAATATAGGATTGAAGCCAAAGCAAACTCAAGAGTAAAGACGAAGGAAGTAGCCCCAAGTATAACATAACTAGTACTCATACACATATAGTTAATCTCCCAACACTTCTCCTTGCTTTGGAGAAGAGAGATCAATCAATCCCAAGTTTTCCTGATATAGAAACCTGAGAAAGGTTTTTCCTTGATAAAAAGGCCGTTCATTTTTCAAGAACTGACATCCATTTCAAAATACTGTTTTTATCTCAGATGGTCACCTCTGTGAATCAAATACAAACTTAGCCTTTATGAGTGTCGACTTTTATCTGGAAAGCAACTCTTATTAAAAATATGTATAAATATGATGCTCATTTGATTTGAGCATTAACTCATCATCTTCCAATTGGAAAATCTCTTTAGCCATTTGGTTCAGCTTTGTGAGAGTGCTTGTGAGCAATCACTTGTAACTCAATACACTCATACAAGAGTAAAGCTTGTACACTGCTGTTGCATCTTTGAAAGTATTTGTGATCTAGATTGTTGAACCTCCAAGAGAAGTTGATTCTCTTGTATGGTTTTACTCCACCTTAAGAAGCATATGCATGGTGAATATAGAACTCTTGAGAAGAGCTCAAGTAGTGGATGTAATACATGTCTGCACCATGCTAAATGACTGTTGTTTCTCTATCTCTCTCTCTCTCTAATTAACGTAACTTTTACTTATTGCAAATTTCTGTTAAAATGGGACAACAACCCATTGACACCCTCCCCCCCCCCCCTTGTAGTTTCACTTGCATAGAGCATGGTATAGCTGTGTCTCAAAAAAGCCACAACACATAGGAAAGTTAGTGCATCCACCTTCCAAAGTGGGGAAGTCAGTTTCATGTGCATGAGACGCTTTGCATCAACCAGCAGACTAATGGAGCCAAAGGCCTAATACCAGTTAACAAAAAAAATGTTTTGAAAGGGGTGTCGTAACATAATACGACATTAATGATGAAATTGATACTTATCCTGTTACCTGTTACAACTAGATCGGAATACAAGTGTCACAAGGCATATACACATTTAAAGCATAGCTCATAAAACGACTTAAGCTAGTTAGAGCTTAATTCGAGAAATTAAGCAAAGAGACTAAATACTTGCCTTCAAAAAAACCTTGCCTTGAAGAAGCCCATATGGAACGGGTCCGAAATTCCTTGAATCATTAGAACTGTAAATGTTATCTCCCTCGACCCAAATATGTCCCTTGGGAACCTACATATATACAAATAACCCATCAACAAAAATCCGCTATTTATAAAACCCACAATCCAAATAGTAAATAATAAAATGAGACGGATCAATCATACAACAAGGGTCTCGGTTCTATCACTGTTTATGGGGTCCACAACATAGGTAATACTGTCACCTTCCATGCCAATAATTCTCTTTGTGATGACCTTCCTTGGATTTTCAGGCGACCGAACTATGACTACATCACCTGAACCCACTTTGCCATATCGGGTTGAGATACTCTCAAGCAGGACAATCTCACCACTAAGGTTAAAGGTGGGGAGCATGCTAGGACCATAGACCTGCAAATCGACAGTTGTTAGAATTTGATAGAAGATAAGCTTTTTAAAAGAACATATATAAGATCAGTTTACCAAAGCAGTGGAGCAGAGGTAGGTACTGGTGACATGCACTGCACAGAAGAATTTGGCAACCAGAAAACTTTTGTCTAGTGCTTCTTTTACTATCAAGGCCCATTGCTGAAACCTGCTCATCTCTCTCTCTCTCTCTCTCTCAGCTGGAACAAGAAATATTTCAGAGTTGGAGAGCAGCTTGAGCTCTTCGTTTCCGACAAACTGTGCCTAACTAAAAAATGATAATAATAAGAATAATAATAATACTTGTACCATTTATGTTTTAACTATCTTGAACATTTCTCAAAATAAATAACAACCCAAGTCAATATTTTGCATCCATAGAACGTCATTCAAACAATGGAACACCACCTTTAATACTGCATAAAACAAGATTCATCACTCTTAAAACATAATCTATAACAAAAAGAAAATGAAATATACACTAATTATTCCAAACAAAGAGATTAAGAGATACAATGGAACTTCTCAAAATCAAACCCAGCTCTCCAAACACATAATTAGTATATGTATATGTTACTTCACTCTAAATCTTCTTTGAATACGCCTTGTAGATGAGTTTATGATATTGTCCCTTTCAATTATCTAAGTTTGGTGAACCCTTTTATGGAAAACTATATGTCTCTTATGCTTCTTCGCAATGCTGAATATTTTGTCATCTAAATATGACTGTTACTCATACTAAATCAAACAAAACTGAACAAACGTAGTAAATCCCATAGAGTTACTCATACTCATAGCTTCAATTGTATGTAGTATCAACAAACAATTTTTGAAATATTGTATTTAGATTTTTTCTATTTTCGGGTGGGATATGTTGAGTTCATTTGGCTTGGTTTAATGTGGTTTTTTGTATTTACATTTATTTTCCAGTGCTCTGTCTCTGTTTGTCATGTAACTTCTATATGCAGAATAATTAAAAAGAAAGAAACGAAGAAATAATAGCCACCGACATCTTTCAGTTTCAAAATTTCCTCCGTATACAATATCTTCCCTTCTAACAAAATATACGTCATTTTCATCTTCAGAAGACTATTTGGAAGAACAGGGACAAAGTGGTTTTAACAGCTAACAGGAACAGATAGAGAAAGAAAGCAATTCCCTTACAGCATACAAAATCTTGGTAAACATTAAACTGATTAATCTAATAAATTTCTGAAGGAGTAAACAATAAAATAAACTCATATAAACCATACTCCTTTTCTAAAGATATTATAATGATAAAATTATATGATTGAGATATAAATACCAAATTCACAGTGTTGAAGCAATTCTCCCTTTAAGTGCAAGAGCAACAGCTAAAGCCTTAACAAAGAAACCACAGCCATTTCAAGTGGAATTGTGCACAAAAGTTTAGGAAACCTTAATGCTAATAAAACAAGCAATCACAAGTTTATCAGGATATCTTTCTCTTAATCATTTCATCGAACAGGTAGTAGACTAATCTTGAAGTAAATTTTTTTTGATGAAAATAACACCCAAATTGTAATTGTCCAGGGGAAAAAGAACAGCACCATTCACTATAAAGATATGATCGAATTCAGAATTTAGTAAATAAAAATAAACTTACAAAACTTAAATTCATGAACCTCAGGTTTCAGCTGCCATGGCTAAAAGACGAGACTGTGTGTTGAGATCATGTCTTGATTACGTGTACATAACTAAGCATGCAGAATACGAAAGTGACAGAGATGCGAGTGCTTAGATCTACCTTATACAAGATGATGGTGGTTATCTCCGGCGCCGGCGAGAGAGAGTCGTCAAATCTGGAGAAGATGATAAACCCCATGAAATTAGGTCTAAATGTTTAAACATAACCCCATAGTTTTTAAAAATCTAAAAGCAACCCTCAATACACTTTCTTGAGCAATTTGTGACATCTAAAAATTAAAATCTCTAAAAAAATATTTATTTTTAATAGATTTTCTATATTGAAGAATCCAACATAATTTAATATTAAAATATTATTTTTTTTTTAAATATTTATTTTCAAAAAAAAAATTATTGATGGTCTCAATTGTTAATCATTTTTAGGGTATTTATATATTTTGTGAAAAAAAAAACTTTTTTCTCTCCTACTTTCTCCATTTTGAAGATAATTTTGGGAAGTTGTTGGAGCAAAATATTGCGAAAAATTATCGCATTCAAAACAAATATCCGATGACAAGTTGGTCGATTAATTCAATAAGAAATGGGAAAAGGTGGTCCGGAAACTTCCTTTCTCCTAACAAGCAAGATGAGATCACCACTTCTCTCGGACTTCCTTATGGGGTTTATTTAACTTCTGAAGATTCAACACCAACTCTACAAGTGGAAAACTTAGCTCACCTAGCATGGAGAGAAGGCGAGTTGTGCTAGTAACATCGTGAGAGTGAACAAAGGTTATCATTATTGTTTTCAAAGAGTAAGCAGCAAAGCAGAAGGAAGGTAGGAAAGGTTTAGTTGGCTTAGTTAATTCTGACATCACCACAGCCCACTTTGTTTTCTCGTCCTTGCTCGCGGAGCGACATACCGAATAAATATAAGAAAAAAAAATGAAAAATTAGGTGCATGGTTGTCGTCAGCTCCTGCCATAAGGTGTGGTGATTGTAGAAAGAATAATACCATGGTTCTCATTGTCCTCGTAATCTTCCTCGTCTTGACTGGTCGAAAATATAGATTGAGCGTGTGGTAATAATTCCATATTAATCCGATATGATATGTTGGGAATCTCTTATGATAATCRTCCACGTTTGAAACGTATCTTAATGCCTGAAAGTTGCATTTTGATCGAGTTATTGATACAAGGAAAAATGAAGAAAGTAAGGTAGACAAAAAAATCATTCTTTTTCCGCCCTCCCATGACTTTTCGAACCAACCGACCTGGATTTGTCCTTGCGAGTCTCTCTGGAAAAAATAGCATGTCGTATCAATTAAGAGTTTTGAGAATATTTTTAGGCTAGGTTATGTAATAAAGAAGTCAAAATCCTCATTTTCTCGTACATAATTCCTGACCTCAAAAATTATGTAATCAAATACTAGGGGAATTCGGATGTTTATTTTGAAAGAAGTTGTTGTAACTTAAAAGAACTAGAATCGTCTAATCAAATAGTTAAATGATTCAAACTAGAGATATATTACATTTATCTTAATACTCGGTTTTCTATAACAAGTTCATATTGATTCTCTAAATCGTATCATTTTGTTCATAAATATTCAAAAAATTAGTTAGTAATTGATGATATTTCGCCCTTGCTGCCATCTGTGAGCATTTTAGGTTAAATTGATGTTGTGTTTGAGGTTTCAACACAAAAATACCCTTATGCATTTTCATGGTGTTTTGTATCTATGAGCAAATTAGTACAAGATGATATGCAAAAAGTTAAATTTTTGATATAATCTTTGAAAAAATCGATAAGCTCTGTCAAAATTAAACCTTAGGTCTTCTGTATAATGGTGATTGATCCCTAGACAATTCTTTTTGGTTAACAACGATAGATTATTGCATAAACATTAAAAGGAGGGAGGGTACCGGAGTGTTTGACAGATTCAAAGTATTAATGATGTAACAGATAATGATAAATTGTATTTAAATGAAACATACTTTATTTCAGTTTTTGTTTTTGGGAAAATCCTATTTATTTGATCAATTAACATAATGTACTATTTTTTTTATATAATTATATGAACGTAACTATAACTTTGTAGAAAAAAAAAACATATTATAACTTTATAAACAAAAAATCATTTTAATACAAAATAGCTAGAACCTGTTTTTGAGATATCTTATGGTAAACATCAAAATAAAACTTTCGGGAACCGAGTTTTTCAAAATAGAAACAAGAATAAATGCGTTACCTTATGATGCAATTTACACTGAATGAAATGATAAAGACCATGTTTGACAAACTAACTCATAAACAAATTGTTAAACTACTTTTAAATAATAAACTAGTTGTTAGGTGATAAATTAGTCATATTTAAAAAAACTTGCTGATAAAATTAGATAACAATAATTTACTTAACAAAATGTGCGTGACATATTTGTAAAATATAAGAGGTATAATTAAGAAAAATAAATGAAAAACAAAACCTTAATAAACTATTTAAAATAACTTTAAAAAAAAACTAATAAACTAATGATTTATAAAGGAGACTTTTTAACTAACTTGGTTTTGTAAATGTCAAACATAAAAAAAAAAATTGGAAAGAAAAGGGTAAAGAAGAATAAATATTTCATTTTAGGTTTTAATGATTAATTTTATTGAAACAAATATAACAATGATTATTCGTAACATTTCCAGCCAACCATTATCATATATTTATATTTTCTTCTTCCTTAATCAGTAGAAGAGATGTATTTAGTCTCTTATAAAACAATATTTCGTCTTCTTTCCCAACCAATGTAGAATCTTACTATCTACCTTCAGGGAGCCTAAAATCCTTGTTGATACACAAGTTTGGTTCCCCATGCTAATAGTATGTGTAACATCCATAGCCAGCCATACTAGTTATTGGTTGTTTTATCCACATCTGGACTCATGATATTGAGATCTCGAATCGGTTGGAGATGGGAACAAATGTTGCTTTATAACAGATTGAATACCTCCTCTATCAGACGCGTGTAAAATCATGAGTTCGGGTGTGGATAAAACAAGGTTCTAAATGGCGTAAGGTGTGGCGTGGCGATGAGGCTAAGCCTCAAGCCTTACATGCCATGACAAGACCATGACAAGGGAGGTATAAAGAGGGGGAGGTTCAGGGGGAAATCACAAGCAAATGAAAAACTAGAAAACACCCTAACCCCTTTGTTCGAAAAAATCAATGGTTAATATGATAATTACAAATTTGTAAATAATTAAAAAGATAGGGTAATTTATATAATAGGGCACAACAGATTAGAGGCAAATCTGGAAAAAATAATAAATGGAAAGCCATATCTCCTACATTTCAACCATAATAATCTCCTACCAAATCATTGATCAAGAATATCAGATGAAAATCAATTTCAAATCATTTCTTTATTCAAACAAAAACTATCATCTATCTTTAATTCCATTATCAAATGAAATCACCTTCAAATCGTTTTTTTATCCAAACAAAAAGTGTAGAACTTATGTAAGATCTGAGTTTTAAAAACACTCTCGTTAGCTTACCTAAATTGTACTGTATTTAGTTAACGGTCAGTAATTATTAAGGGATTAAAACCACCAAACTTCTAAACTCTTAATAATTATATATATATATATATATATATATATATAAAAAGTAAAAAAGACATGCATCGTCTGCTTCTTCACCATCTCTTCTCTCTCGTTTTTTCTCTCTAAAAACTTTCGTATTCTCTCTAAATTTCACGTCAAATTACTAAAGACATCGAAGTAACAATTATATATTCGGAATCTACTCTACAAACCCTTCTTAAAGGTATAAATTTCATTCACTTTTATTAGGGTGTTTACGTTAACATTTTTTTAGATCGGTTTATAAATTATGTTATGTCTAAGTTTATGGATTGATATTGTTAAAAGTATGATATATTTTATGTTTAGAATGCTATGATTGGTTAGGGTAGATTATGTTTCAATGTGGTTAGATTGTGAGTATGTGTTTAACCGCGCACCAATTGTTCGATATAATGCCGAAAAGAGTAAAATTGCATGATTAAGCTTAGGTTAGCTTTTGAACCTCATTTTCATGAGCATTTTTCAGAACAACCCAATTAATGGGCACATTATTTTGGATGCCTTCTATGGCGGCTTTGTAGTCATGGCGTCCTGCAGGTGAACTCGGTCCACAGGGTTAGGCCTAATAGTGGCTTACGTAAACCCACATTGTGGATTAGGCCAATTTTATTGGCTCCAGGACGGATGGATCGATCCTAAGATTACCCATCATGTTACCGTGGTTAAATTCACGGGGGACTCGGGGTGTATGCCCACACACCGGTCCGATAGTTCATGTGGTTTGGCCACCCCACCAACAATACATGAATTGACGGATTTTGTTTAAATGATGTTTTGAAATGAGAATTGTGAAACGTCTTGATTTTATATGAATTTAATTTAATTGATTTTTAAGCCTTCCGCTTTATTATCGATGTTACATATTATTATTTCAAGTTTATATTATAATATCTGTTCACTGAGCCCCGTGCTCAGCCATGTTTTTGTTTTCTAACACGACAGGTTCCAAGTGATACTGATAGGGACGGGACTTGAGATCGAGCGTTTCACTTTTGGAGTTTGTAAACTCATTTGTAGATGTATTATATTCTAAGCTTATAAATAGTTGCTGAAATGTAATATTTTGGGTTGTAAAGCATGTTTCAAAAGTTATTTTATGTTTGGAGTTTATTAGTAGCTCTGTAATGTTTGTGTCTTTGAATTAAGTTCTGTTAGTGACACCGCCCGTTCCGGACCACAGGGACGGGGAATGTTACAAATGTGGTATCAGAGCATAGGTTTTGACTTGTAGATTAAGTAAGTTTAACCTGTGAGAAATGGGTAGACATAAAAACGATATATTAGACTTTAATTCTATCTACCGTTTTTTTAACCATAACTGTTTTGAATTCTGACTTTTCATGTCATTTTATTTTAGAATGTCGAGACGTGGTCTCCTATGCAAATCCATATCTCAACCTGGGGGTAACCCAAACCTCAACCCAATCCAATGGGGGTGGAAGTGAACCCAATATTGCTGATGTGGTTTGTCAGACCATGTCAAGTATGATGCCTACATATCTCCAGCAGGCTATCCAGGCTATGCAACAAGCAGCACATAATCT